CCAATTCCGACTCTGCACGGGTCATATGCTCTAGCATCCTGTCTCGCGCTTCCACAGTCAAAAATAGGCCCCTTAAAGAGAGTTTCATTTTATCATATGCCGATTGTTGCAGGATCGTAGACAGTTCACCTGTAGTCGCAAACAATTTGGTCCTTCAATATGCGAGTTTTAGCGAATATTCCTCGTCCATTGATGCTAGGAATATCGCGCACTTCGAGCCAAGGAAAGTCCTTAAATGAATGTGCATATCATGTGCATATGTAGCAGGGATACAATCAATTAACCTGAATCGGTTGAGCTAGGCGTCGTTGATCGAAACACTGCTGCTCGTACTCACTACGATAGTATCCCAGTCCTCCTGTATAGGTTTTGTCGTTCAGCTCTTGCATGTACCTGACGACATTCGTGGGATCTGCTGGATCTGGCAGTGGTGAAGCATAACGCTCACGCATTAAAATCTTCAACTGCTTCTCATACTTTTCTCGTGCCTCTGCACCGCGCTCCAACACGTCCCTTATGAACTGTTCAGTGAGTTGTGGCTCTTCTTCTGGTCTTTCTTCTGGAACTCTCTCTCTTTCTTCTACTTCTGGTTCAACTGGCGGTTCTTCTTCTGGCTCTATCTCTCTTTCTTCTACTTCTGGTTCAACTGGCGGTTCTACTTCTGGCTCTATCTCTCTTTCTTCTACTTCTGGTTCAACTGGCGGTTCTTCTTCTCGCTCCTCTGGTCGATCTTCTGCTCCTCTTGCTTCCTGTTCTCCTCCTTGTCCTCGTTCTTGTTCTTCAGCCGGTGGTGTTCTGCCGCGTCCTGGACGTGGACTTCTGCGTTTCCTCCGCCTTTCTTGTTCCTGTCCTCTCGCTGCTCGCGTCCCAGAAGCGTCATCGCCTGTCTCGCTCAATCTTCTTCGCTTGCTGGCACGCAACCCTGTGGATGTTGAAGGCTGGTCAGCATCTAAATCTCTTTGAACATTCTTTTAACCTAACAACATATGACACAAGTAGCCCGTCGTACCTGATTCACTCAGTCCAGCCAAATCTCGATAATCGCCTACAGCATCATCCAAGCTTTCTTCGCTAAACTCAGACGTATCCTCGTCGTCGATTCTGATCACATTCCGTGCTTGCTCCAATTCAGGGCCGGTCAAGTAGCTGTAATTTGTCGTCATACACATGCGTTGCCTTTAGTGATAAGCAATCAATGTGCTTACGATGCTTTCACCATCCGCTTCACTTCTGCGACACGCGCTTTGATCGTGTCATTCTTCTTGGACTCCTCTTTAGCAAGCGCCCTCAACTTCACATACCCATAA